GCATGATAAAATTCAGGATGCTCTTCACACGGATCTACGGTAACTGTCACAGGTTCACATTCTGTCATATTGCCAATCACCCACGAGTTGCCAAACTCATTAGTGCTCGTTACCTGCACAAATGAAACGGCTTAGTATATGTGAATCTGTATGCTGGAGGTATTTTTAAATGGGCCCACAATTATGAGCTTATAATAGAAAATGAATGACATTGATGTGCATAATATCTTACCAGCACGCCATCAGGTTTAGTGAAGTCATCCGTCATATCTAGATCATAGTTGCCACATAATCCACACGTGGAACTCATCCAACTGCTATCCGCATCGACCTCCACGAGGTAGACTCCATTGAATCGTATTGTTATTCCATTATCCAACTGAACGACCTGTGGTCATATAAGGTAATGACAAGTGTAAATAAATGCACGTGCAGCTTAGACAGTTACCAATAATGTGTCCAACTATTTAATCGATAACTTACCACAAATGTCCCAGAGAAATAAATTGCGATTCCTGGAATTGGTGAGTACGGTAGCGTTACTATGACGCCGTTAACATGGACAACCTTCATCGGCAGTATTGTTATTTCCTGATAAAAAAATAATATAGTTATAATAACTGGCGTTTTTTTTATTTTATAATATATATTATCATGTGCTATCACGATTTTAAAATAAACAGTAATATTTGTCAAATGGTTATTATATAGACTACTTACAAAATCCATATAGTATATTGTTACAGATTTCGTCACAGACGTCGTTGTGTCGCGCTCCCATGGGATGTTATCTACCGTAACTAGGAATGTGCCATTATGTCCAAAACACGTATCGGTCACCAGAATATATTGGCATGTTCCGTGGAAGTGATAGTACTTTCCGTCAAATGATGTGTAATGAACATCACCGTCACCGCTACACGTGGCGTGACCTATAACTATAATAAATCGGTTTAGTTTTATATTGTCTTTAATATACATTGAATGCAAAATTGCATCATATCGTAAAAAAAGGTTTGGGATATAATACAACATAGTTATCAAATAATCGAGGTTTAACTTGCATTTGATTGAAAAAAAACAGTATATTTAAAAAAAAAACATTCTACCTTGCATAGCTAACTATATACAATTAGTATATTTTTATCGGCATCTTACTTTTAAAAATATGAAATTTACTGTTGTCGGAATATCAAGTATGTATGCCATATGTTTTAATAGCAATGTTATAATTTATGACAGATTTAAAAGTGAAATGAAGTACCTTCTTCAGGACAGCATACAGCATAACCCGATGTCGCGTTGATGAAATGACACCCATAACCATCCGGGCATTCATCCACGAGCTGTATGTTCGTACTACCGTTTATCTCTTCCCACTCACATAATACAAGTGTGTCATAGTGAAGTGGACTTCCTCCTGATGGGCATGCACGCTCTGCATAAATCAGAAGATTACTATATTGTATCTATAATTATTGTCAATTCTGATATGTACTATTGTATTTATATACAGGGCGATTTTTATTGAGGAAACTGGTGACGAGGCATCATATATTTAAACAAATACGCATTACAACAATATTGTTTTTAATTAATTGTACGACGTAACCATACAATCAACGATCGCTTATCGGCAGATCAAATATACCATGTGTTGGTTTATATAACCATATAATTACTTCGCAAACCTTTGATTTCGCATCAAATTATAGGTATGATTTACTTGTAGATGTTGATCTTTGTTTGAATTACAATAATAACAACCCAGCAGGTTATGAACATACGATTTCAGTTGTCGTATAATAAAATAAAGTAAACAAAGTTACATACCGCAGAACTTTCCAAAACAGTTCAGTTCACCTTCATAGCACTGACTGTAGAAATAAATAAATAAACATTCTTATTACATGAAGTAATAACAAATCCATAATTATATGAATAAATTTAAAATTTATAAAAAATATATAAAAATGGAAAGTATTTCAATATACAGCAAACGAAATTTTGTAGGCACTTAATCCACTAGACCTAATACTATGTTTGCCAAACACAAACAAAAACTTCGTAGTAACCATGTGTGACACTTAATAAATCGTATGAGTTGTAATGGATGAAAAATAAATAAATAACTAACTAAACAAATAAATTACTAACTAAATAAACAAACAAACAAACAAACAAACAAATAAATAAATAAATAAAACAGTATCCAAATGAAAAACATATTTCAACATACCATGTCTCACAGTCATCTGTGAAGACGAACGAATTTGCTTCAAATGTTCTTCCATTGTAGGTGCAATTTGCCTCTGTAGATTTATAACAAAGAAAAATAAAATTATATTTATGTCCGAATGATGTAAAAAGAACAATAAATTTAACTACGTATTTGACAGCAGATGTTCCATAGAACACAATGTTAACGAGAAATTACATTTTTTTTCACTATTTGAAAGCCAGATTTTTGAAGTAATTCAGGACAACAAAAAGTACTCCATCATTAATAATAATATATGATTTTTTTCAGCCTATGTCACCAGGTTAGATTTTGAGATATTGCATAATATCTCTGCCATAGGAACCTACGGTAAAGGCATTAAAATAGTGCCAAATGGCGACTTTCCACTAGGATACAACCATCAATTTATAAAAAAAAAGGCTGGTGACCCCCAACCTTTTTACAGTCAATATTCTTATATTGCCTTGGAGCCTTGCCTTATTGTAAAATGAATAAATTCTGGGTAGTTTCATTTATGAGTAGGCGTATTTTAGATGCATGTGGTCTGATCCCCGGTACCCACACATTGTGGAGAGAATACAGATTTATTGATGTTCTAGGAGTCTGCGCAGTATTTCATAATTCACTTACCGACACAGACCTGGCCATCACCAGTGTAACCGCCGTCGCAGTGACAATTACGCACACCATCAACAACTTGGCACTGAGCATGGTAACCACATGTGAGTTCCACACAGTCCACTTCCATATAATCTGTGCATGTACATATGTGTGAACAATTGTGCGTAGTGAATACGTCACCCACCTGCAAATGAAATAATGTTAATCGTATATATGTAAACTACTATTTTTGACCATGTCAATATCGAAATTCCAAGACGTGTCACGTCATTTCGTGTCTCTATCGAACATTTTGACGAATTGATTATGCTGTTTTGCAAAATAATAACGTATTGCATTCTTTCTTGAACGCATTCACATTTTTCACATAATCGATTGGTGCTTTTTGCCGGATATAGTTGCAAATATACATGTCAAATCAATCAGAACCTTGCTCATATATGTGTCTTACAGCACAACAGAAGTCTCCAATACTGTTCAACATATCAACATACCGAATGATACAATCCATCAAATAGACATCCACATTGTTCAATTGGTACACAGTCCTCCCCATCTAACACTAATCCGGCATGACAGAAACAACCCTCAGCGCATTGCGGTGTGCAAACTTGGCCTTGGTGAAGACAGTTAGCAGGGCAAGCTGGACCACAAACTTCATATTCCATGTTTTCCCCACATTCAATAGCTAAGGTATATATATATATATACGTGTTGGTTATGTGTATTACGGAATATGAATATGGTCGAACATTCTTCTTTGGTGAAATAAAGTTTTAATTTATAGACAGAAACAGAAACAGTGTATGCAACATACAATGGGAATACGAGGGAATAAATTGGAATGTCGTGTATTTTAACTCTACAAGACGTCATCAACTATTTTTTCTACAAATGTTGTTAATGTGTTACTGATACATACATTTCCCTCTACATGTGTAATTCAACGCACACACATAGAAAGCATCTTACTCACCACACGGTCCTCCTGCTCGCCAGTCACCAATGGTCACATTAAGTGGGCACATGGCAACAAATGCGGCTATGTCATCGCATCCACTTGTGTTATCACCTAGGGGTAAAGTCTCACAGAGATCGTAGCGGCAGTTCTCATAAGATGCGGATGAATCAACTTGGGCGCGTAAGCATTCGCTCAATGGACCTGTCGAACAATTTAAGTATAAACTCAGGTGTATAGGTAGATAAGCATACAAGATGTAAAAGAACCGTTGCCTAAATCAGTTTTAAAAATTGTAATTAATTGTTCATGGATAATATACACAAAAAATCTGATTCGAAATGACCTAGAATGCTATAAAAGCTGAGGAAGGGGAACACACAATTACACACATTTGCATATCAATCTGCTATTTACATTGTCGTTGGCAAATTCAGGATTGCAAACCCAGCATGCACATAGCCCTGGAAGACATATCCGGTCTACCGGTCTACTCAACTTCTCGAAAAATGTGAACAAATAAATGCAAATAAAATGTAGTTGTGTATACAAAAAAAACCGGAAAAATATCTTTTATATCTAAGTGTGTCACAGAATGTAGTTACTGGCTAAATACCTCCATCAATGAAAAGCCTTAGAGTCAGACGATTCTAGAAACATATATTGTAAAACATGTTTAAATAGCTACATGCCATTTTAGTGAATTTGACTTCAGATATTAATTAACAAAATCTTAATTTAGCTAAAGTACCAACAATCCCATTGTGAAAATACACTTTATTTTGAATTAGTGACATTTTGAATTAGCGAAATTACAGATTAGCTAAAAAGCATGCTAAGTAAAACGAAATATTTGACAGTACTTTGCTGGGATATTTTTAATCATTTTGCCACAATCGAAAGTTGGAAATGTGGCACAAGTATTTTGTAAACATAAGGCATGCTAGAGTTACATGAGAGCTAAAGAATAGAAATTTCAGAAAATACAACTCCACACATAATTTACATTCTTGTAATGTAAATATTGTTAGTTAATCACATTGTATACACCTGTAGCTTTTTCATACCATTAGTATCTTGTAGAACACTGCAAATACGTTCAGCCTGAGCCACAAAGTCTGGATTAACCTCACAAGGATGATCGTCTCCAGTGATGTCATCGCAGTCACTATCGACAGCCCAGCTGTTTCCAAAGGGAATCGGCCCATCGAGCTATTATGGTGACATGTGAACAAAATATGTGAACAAATGTATTCTTCAAGTTGTTGGTAAATAAAGTCATATTACAGATTAATGTATAAGTTGCAGCCAGATACTATTATTAATCATCACGAGGCATGGGACAGGGATAACTCGTTCTTTTGTTTTAAATTAATAAATAACCACGATTTTCCTGTTTACCACACAATCGCAGTGCAGAAAAACAATAAATTATTAGACAAAAATGCACGTTGATGAATAGCTTCGTTCACAGTGCATTCAACAAACATTATTCATATATACACGGGTTAATATTGTTATCTAGCATATCATGAATCGCACACAACCCAGTGTTATTGATACAAATATGATCTTACCATCATTCCATTGGGTGCAATGTATTCATCATGTATTATTGCATTATAGTTTGCACACAGTCCGCATACTTTGTTCATATGGCTACTGACTAAATCCACGCGAACATAGCTATTTCCATTCCACGTCACCTTCAAACCATGCCCAGTGATTACAGTCTGGAAGCAAAGACCAACAAAATAAAATGCAATCGATAATCAACGCTTAATAACACTCGCTAGTACCCAATTGAACGCGATTCTCTCTTTGATACGATTGTAATGTATTGCAGTAGGTATGTACTTACTATGTACGATCCTGCAAACGTTATCGACAGAAAAGAGTGCAGATTATAATAAGGTGGTGTAATAGTCAATCCATTGACTTCTACCTCTAGGTTTTGGAGGAGGTTAATTACCTGTCAAGATAAACAAAGATAAAATATATTATTATCGTCATCGTCTTGACCATGGTTTGTATTTATTGATCAATACATATATACATCGCAAATTAGATCCTTCTCAAAATTTAAGATTGTCGATAAGCAAGGTTTAGGTCAGCTGCATCTTCAACACAAGCCGTAACCTAATTACGCAACGCATAGATCTACGATACAGGAAATAATATGCATAAGTACACGATGCATGTAATAAACGTATACGCCATGTCCCAATATATGGGCTTGGAAAAACATTCGTCACTTACCAAACCATGTATCATAATAGTTACATCTTTCGTCCACGTTTTTGTTGATGTTGGAGATAGTTTGTGATTGTTCACGAGCACGGTAAATTCAGAGGGATTTGTAGAATCTTTGTAGCTTTCGTAATAGGAGTACTGTGAGGGTCCTTCATAGTTGCTGACATAGGACGGGTAGTCTCCGCCTAAACAGTCGTTTGTTACCAGCACGTAACGACACTCTCCTTGAAAATCATACGCCCGGTCATCGAATGTATAATAATGAGGATCTCCGGATGCGTAGCAGAAATCGGAATCTGTTAAAATGCAAATTTAAAAGATCATTACTGTGAATCACGCCATCTAGTGATGCAGGCCGATGAAATCATAGATATCGTTTTGATCTGTAGACATCCATTAGCATTCTAACGGACAAACGACAGCACAACCAACATAATTCAGATAGAATGTTCATAAACGTCATTTGTGTTCCGCCACTAGATGGCGCGATTTATATGAAGTTGTATTATGGACGGTCGTCGATTATCCGTACATGAGCACAACGAGTACTAGTTATATAATCCTGACTCACAGTATGCATAATGTTATTACGGATTATTAATGTTTACTCATAAATGAATGGACGATAATGAAAATGTAAATACTGCATATACATTACACGTGCTTCACATTCTACGTACCAACACAATTCGTCATGTAATCGGGACAGCAGTCGTTATATTCAGCACACACTGAATCACAGTGACAGAAGACAGAATCTATTTCATAAAATCTGTAACATCCATTCACACAATATCCATTATTTCCTTGCAAAAAAAAAACATTACATTATAAAACAAATAAATGTGAATTCTAGTTTTGAATGACTTACTTACAGATATATTCATATGAGATTTATTGTATCATAATAAGGATTATAAAAAAATGTACTGCAAATAACCATGTACGTGCGATTAAGATCTCACAAGAAGCGAAGTCACACAGTTTGCAAGATTTCACTCTACGTGCGCGTCAATCAAACGCCACATAACGCAGTGTGTAAAAATAAAATAGGGAGTGCACACACTCAACGATTCTCTTGTTTCTCGGACTCTCTTATTTTCATTTGCATATTTAGAAGTGGAGGCTTGTCTTTCGATTTTAAGATAGTCCCGCACTTTGTGTGACTTATTTAATTCGCGTGAGATCTTCATAAAAGTATCACCCAAATCATAATACATCGATATCCTTGATCGTATTTATACTATTATTAGATTTATTTGCATATTTTATGATTATCTTTATATTATACATGATTGTACGCTCTACGAGGGTAATTATCCTTTTTATCATCTGATCCATTTAAATAGCATATATGATGGTTCTATAGATACTTACTTTCACATATAATTCCGTCCCCAAAGTACCCTGGATCACACTCACAATGCCGCTCGTCGTCATAGTTAATATAGTAGTCTGTGTAGCGATTACAGTGTGCATGTTCATGACAGATAGGGTCAGTGCATACCACAACGCCTCCCGTAAAGCACTCGCAAGAGGTGCAGTTATAGTTTATGAATACCTCACCAACCTGTTTAACATACAAGATTATATTCTAAGTCATTGTCGCAATAACGATGCGAGTAATTAACATTATTATACATCTGTCGCCGTAACGCCATAAGTTACAGCGTCCCGTAGTTTTGTGGTATTTTACGGGCTATTTTCATCCTACCATATTAGGAAATGCGAATTCCAAATATGAAATGATTAGAGTGTCCTCTAATAATAACAACAAACATGTCTGCAACCAGGGTTTGACCGGACTCCACACAATGAAGTTCGCTGATTCTGTTCTAATTTTTTTGGATTCAGGCAATCCCATGATGTATAATTGGGAGGGAAAGATGTATAATAATAAGGTTATTACGCGGATACAGCCGTCGGTCGATACTACCACTGTACTGTCTTCGTGCATACTTTTCGGTATCCTCGTAATAGCCTTATCTAATTTCTTTTGGAAAGTTATGTCTAGTTATGAAATGCTGCTGTGTGATTTTGGAGAAGTGGAAATTATTAAACCATTTGTTTTACTTTAGTCGTATAAAAAAAATCAAACACAACTGTATCTACACAGAGTATAACTGTTCTTTCATAAGTAAGTAATAGTAATATATACACACAGAGATGAGAAAATACCTAATAGTCTTAAGTGTTATTTACCCTGTACAAATTACTCTCATAGTAACATCCGCAATGCGACAGGGGTCTACATATGCCTCCTTCATCCATGACTAGACCATCGTCACAAAAACAACCTTCGACGCACTGTTCACCACAAAAGGTAGCTGGATTTGGTTGGTCGCACGTCGGAGGACAGGCTGAGCCACATGCTGTATACGTCTGATTGGTTGGACATTTCAGCTCTTCAAAATATAAAAAAAGGAACAAATGATGTGTGACGCAAATTACCTATTAATAATTCAATGGGAGTCGTAGATTTCAATTTTAATTAAGTTGCCATGTTTGAACGTCCATGTTTTTTAAAGATTATTATTTTGCAATTTGTTTTTATGGTTGAAATCAGTGGTATTATAAAATGCAATAAAGACTACAGAATGTATGAAAATATATTGTGGGCCGCGTGAACGAATGAGTATATTAAATGCTCTTGCTCACCACATTCCGTGCCACTTCGCCAGTCACCCACAGCTACACCCGCACTTTGACATTCCGCTACATAACTAGCGATGACGTCACATCCACCTGCCAAGTCGTTGTTAGGCAAAGATTCGCACAGATCCATTTTACACATTTCAAAGTGAACCATTGGGTCAATAACACTAATACATTCCGCTAATTCTCCTGTATGAAACATATGACACACAGGGTGCGTGTTAACAGTACTACATGAACGTATAACACGATGCTATGGTCGCCTTGTAATTGTGTGACATTCTCGTCTTGAATAAACACAGATCAATTCCATGACTTACCCATGTTAAGTAATCTAAAACATGTGGATTCAGCTTCGGATTCGAACTGATTTTGTTCACATGGCGATGGCGCCTCCATAGCCGGTTCACAATCTGAATTCACTTGCCAGCTATTTCCAAATTCAACAACACTTGTCGTCTATTTAATGAAACATGATTACGAACTTGTTTGTTAGTTTGTTTCTTCTGAATAAGGCATGATTAACTCTTACTAAATGAGGAAGGAACTTTGTGTGAAACGCCAAGCTGGTATAATGACAGTATACATTATACTAATTAATATAAGTGGTATTTAATATCAGGGGGTGGTAATACGGTAATTGCCATGCAATCATTAAATGTGCTGATATATCTGACATGCCAAAAAAGCTTACTCTGAAAAGTCAATAGTGACAACATGATATCACATGATTTGTTTTATTTATTTCACAACAATAATCGCTACGCTCGACATACGCAGGTTATTCAGTTACAGCGATTTGATTACACATTCTACGATATTGCATGCCATTTTCCATCAAATGTTAAATATTTGGTATTGTGTCACATACCAGCGACTCGTCCGCCATCATGTATTCATCTGTAATATTATTGTTGAAATTAGCGCATAGTCCGCAAACTCTGCCTTGATGGACATCTGACAAGTCAACACGTATATATGAATATCCATCCCAGGATATCTTTAATCCAAATCCAGTATGGATTACCTGTAAAATAAAAAAAAACATTATAATACATGTGCATATGATCTATATAATTTACGCAAAACAGTGCAACAATTTATATATTATAAAACTTTATGAATTGCATATGAACCATCAAAATACATACTACGTAATATCCAACTAAATTAACAGTTACGAATGGAGATGGCGGTGGAATAACCGGTGGGCTGACTAGAGAACCATCGATCTTCACCAACTTTCCAGGCAACAACTCAATAACCTGAAAGATAAATCAAAGATATGTTGATCACGGGAATGTACAGCGGTGCGAATGCAATAATCACAGATATATTGCTCACGAGAACGTACTGTTGTGCGAATTTCAAAGCCAATATTGTTTCACATCTCCGTTATTATGACGCTAACGTCACGTACCATGCCATATATATAGACTGTTGCATTCCTGGTCATGGAAACAGTGGATGATGGATACGTCTTGTAGTTATTAACTATGACGGAAAACTGTCCTTGCTGTCCGAAGCACCCATCAGTGGTAAGGACGTACTCACAGTCTCCTTGAAAGTCGTAGTATTTATGATCGAACGTTCGATAATGGGGATCACCGGAAGCGTAACAGTAGTCACTGCCTAAATTAGAAACACCAATTCGTTATAATGCATAATATGAACATTATTCAGATATGCGCATTTACAAGTGTGGTTTTTTTTAATCGGCATTATTCCAAATTGTTACCGATACGAACCTGAACAAAAATCAATATAGTCAGAGCAACAGTCCCCATTTGTTGCACATGCTGAATCACACCAACAACCATTTTCACCCCCAGTGGAACCACATTTGCCTTCACATTGTCCGGGAATACCTGGCGATTAAAGATGAATAGATTATTTTCTGATTCACTGATGACTTGAACAAAATTTTGGTGAAAATACTTGTATGGTCGCGGCGCCACAGTATCGACATTCCATGCTCGGGACTACATGACAGAACCATAACAAATATCCGATCATAATATCTAGATACACTCTGAGCGTATCCTCTCTGGCCCAGTCGAGCACAAGTACCTAATGACCATAAACACACTTCTAAAAAAAAACGAATTATTCATTGCCATTCTAGGCACAGTAGCATTTGAATGTTAATGACAACGTTACTTACTAGTATCTGGACAGCAAACAGACCAATCAACGTCGAACAATGTGTCGTTAACAAAATGACAGCTATACCCAGGCGGACATTCGATGACCTCAAATAGTGGGAATCCTTCTGGCGCTGATTGTTCATCAAAATAACAAAATAAAGTTTCACCATGTTCATTGTGAAGCGGGGAGCCTACTGGACACGTGTGTTCTGAAAATATATAATGATATAGTATGTCAACACTTAAACACTTAATAAACACGAATCTCTTGCAATGTGTTTATTAACAGCATTATCAAGTTAATATTATGATATGTAAATCGTCCTGAATAGGGTTTATTAGGTATATATAAGTATAAAGATCCATGTTACAGAATAACAAATAATAATAATATCACTGTCAGTATTAAATACTTGCCGCATTCTTTTTCTTGGCAAAAATCATTTCCCGCTAGTAAGGTATCACACCAGTCGTAGTAACATAACAAATATCCATGGATACAAAAACTAAAATCAATCGTATTTTAAGAATTAAAATTAATCTAAAAGTAATGAATAAAATTAATACATGATGTGTAGATATACGATTTATTTTACAGCTTTGTCGTACTATACAACACATACAAATTCAGAGATAACTCACCACGCCTCACAATGGTCGTTATATCGCACTGTGTAATTGCGCATTTGGTAGGAACCCAAGTCACATGTATCTACAAATGTGAGGTATAAAAAAATATGTTACAAAGCACAATACTCATCATGTTTCATCTACATGACTGAGGTCGTGGTTTCTGGGAGCCTAACATATTACGTGTGGAACCGATTGACCAGTGCAGAAAATAGTTGTATTGAGTTGGGAAAACTGTTGTCATTTTTGCGGGTACAATAACGGCTGATTTTCATGCGTGAAATTTATATCTTCAATACAAATGTATAACCATTGATTGAACATGGTTATAACCATTACCCATTTCTACAGTAGCACTGGTATACCGTATAGAATTTAAAATTGGTTGCATGTGAGGATGAGGGAGAGGATGCACCTGGAACTCGGTCGCCAGATCTCATTGAGTTTGTTCCCTTAAAAGGGCAAAAGACAATTGATGATGTGCAATTGGGTCCGGAGTTGCCAGAGTGCAAGATTAAAGAGCTGAAAGAAATATTCTGGCACCCTAACTGACATGTCTGGTAGGTCAAACGTAGGTATTCATGAGATCAAACTTACTACCGACAACCCGGTGATGTGCAAGGCATATGCTAACCCCTATGCATTACAAAACACCATAATTGAAGAGGTTCAAAAGATGTCTCGTATGGGAATTACTCTGCTTCACCATAATTATGCTGCGCCTATTGTTCTTGTTAAAAAAAGGGCTGGTAAAATACGTTTCTGTACGGACTTCCGACGGTTGAATCGTATTACTGTGTTTGACGCAGAACCGATGCTAAACCCGGAGGAACTGTTTTCGCATCTTGCGGAGGGGAAGTACCTGACAAAAATAGATCTTACTAAAGGTTTATGGCAGATTCCACTGGCAGAGGATGCCAAACCAAAGACTGCATTCTTGACACCAGTAGGTCAGTATCAATATTGTGTCTTACCATTTGGGCTTACGAATAGTCCGAGTACATTTTCAAGGACAATAAGAATTGTCCTTGAGGGGTTGCATGGGCATGTCATCAACTAGGTGGATGACATTCTAATTTATAATGGCCGATGGGATGACCACTTGAGTACATTTACTGAAGTACTAAGTAGTTTAAAAAGGGCCGGTTTAACAGCAAACCGTCAAAGTGTTACATCGGTTTCACCCAGTTCGAATTTGTTGGACACATAGTTGGGAATGGCGAAATACGCACTATACCCACAAAAATTAAAGCATTACAGGCAACACCACAGCCAAGAACTGTTAGCCAGGTGCGTGTATTTCTTGGGCTTGCAGGATACTATCAACGGTTCGTCCCCAACTTTACCGCAATTGCTGCACCATTGTATGAGCTATTGCGCAAGGGTATGCCAAAAAAAATAGTTGGGAACAGAATCACCAAATGGCCTTCACCCAGCTAAAAAGTGCGCTTAGCCGCCCTCCAATTTTGAAATTGCCAGATTTTAAAAGAACATTCGTGCTAAGATCTGATGCATCAAACGTTGGATTGGGGGCTGTGTTACTTCAATATTAAACTGACAAAGACGGAAACACACTATTCAGTAATTGAGAAAGAATGCCTTGCCTTAATTTGGGGACTGCGAAAATTTCATCAATATTTGCATGCGTCTCAATTTTGGA